GGCATGTCGAGACTATCTGTTTGGGTACAGTTTTTCGTACCAAGGAAGAAGCTCAGACTGGTGTTATGGCATGGAATGTTGAGAATCTTAGGGCGGTCCGGACAAAAGATTTCAACAAGAAGTCGTTCAAAGTTGTGTGCAGATCGGCTGAAGGTGTACCATGTATGTTGAAGGCTCGGGTGAGTCTTAATCCACGGGTGCACGACATGTGGGAGGTAACCGAATGGACCGACAGGCACACTTGCATGCAGGTGGTCGAGAGAAATGACCACAAGAATGTGACGGCCCATGATCTCAAATCTTCTGTTGCCTAAGATTCAGAAGCAGGTGACCTACAGTGTGGAAATGGTCCAGGCCGACGTAGAAAGTGCCTGGAGCGTCGATGTGAGCTACAAGAAGGCGTGGCACGGGAGAAAAAAAGCCATCGATCGTCTGTATGGCACTTGGGAATCGAACTTCGCACAACTCCCCCAGTAAGCAAAAATTAATTACGAATGTATTTACGTGTTTGTAACTATATTTATTTATTTATTTATGGGTACCTTTTTATAATTTTCAGATTTTTTGATGCCCTTCAAAGGGCGAATCCCGACACAGTCGTTGAGTGGGAATGGCAGGATGGGGAAATGGCTCGTCGTTCTCGAGACAGAGAATTCAAATTTGTCTTCTGGGCGTTCGGGCCCGCCATTCGAACCTTCCATCTTTGCCCGCCGATTATTAGCATCGACGGCACGCACCGGCGAGGTTCGTACAAGGGGAATGTACTTGTTAATTTCAAATGTATTTTTTATTTTCTAACATACAATAGTGTCTGATAAAAAAACATATGTCCAACTGAGCAGGTTCGTACAAGGGGAAGTTGCTTGTTGTCATAGCACAAACCGCGAATAAGCGTCTATTGCCAGTCGCGTATGCGATTGTGGACGAAGAAAGCACGGCTAGCTGGTCCTTTTTCCTAACACATCTGCGCAATCATGTCCTCTCCGACAGGCAGATATGTCTTCTTTCCGACAGGGACAACGGCATATTGAGTGCCGTTGATTTACTGGAGGCTTGGCACGAACCCCATGCATTTCATCGGATATGCCTTCGACACCTTCGGAGCAACGTGGTTTCAAGGTATCGGAGTAAGAAAGTCCGGGTTCTGTGGTGGAGGTTGGGTTCATTGTGTTCTCGTCGCAAATTTGAGCATGCTCGACAAAAAAATATTTTTCAAAATTCTAAAATAAATTTTAATATAAAAACATATTCATAACATACGTTTTAAATAAAAACGTATTCTGTGTATACTTTTATAGAAAAAAAAACGTATTTTGTGAATACGTTTTTGTTTATGTTAATTAAGATTAATTATCTTAATTACATTATTTTAGTAAAATGTATTCGCAGAATACGTTCTAAAAGCAAAAACGTATTCTCGTAATACGGTTTTATATGAAAAACGGATTTCTGGAATACGTGTGTTTGATTTTTGTCCACACAATTTTTTTATTTTTTTTATTTTTGTCCACTTCTTTTTTTTTTTAAATAAATAATTGTTTCCACTTGGACTAGTT